TCACGCTGTTGTAGTGTTAAAGGCCAAGAAATGGCGAAACCTGTTCCGCAAACATTGACCAGATAAAACCATTCTATGACCGTAATAAAATGCAAATCTTTTCAGATCTTTTGCAGGATCCGGTACGGCAGACACCGCAGGTACAAGTTCCAGAGGTGGGAAAACGACAAGTACAAGGGCAAGCCAATGAGAGACAGAAGCAAGTGAAAAGAAAATTGCCCCGCGGAAAAATTGAAGGTACAAAAAAAAGAAGTCGTTCCACCGTCCAAAAAACAGAGTTCACGAACACCCCCAGAATGAAGAAGGGAGAAGGACGACGTATGTGGAAAAGACCGGGAGAAAGGACGGCAACTATAACCCGGCTGTGAAACGGAAGATTGACTCATCCGACAGAACTCTCCGCAGCAAAAGTCGCCGAACTGCGGAAGGGCCATCAGCGGCGGAGGAAAAAGTACAAGAAAAATTTGAACGGCCAACAACGAGGTCCAAGCAGGATCACGACAGAAGTTTCCCGGTTCCACCAAGACCAGCTGCCTTCAAACGGCCAAGACCACAAGCAGAGGACAGAAGGAAGATGTTCAAGGGTGGCCGTAGTGGTGAAAAACGGAAGCTTCCAGAGGAAGCCACTGAAGGGCGAGCCCGTACAAGAAGGAGGATCAACCAAGCAACGGTCTGCAGCACCTTTAAAGACTGGGCCCAGAAAAGGATGTCTGAAATATACAAAGATAAGTAAAATTTTATGTTACTTTACAAACTTAAGTTAATCTTTCATTCTTACTGCAAGTGGCAGATTTCAAGAAGTTTTACCTCATGCGAGGTCTACCTTTATCGCCAAAAGGGCGAGAAATGAGTTGTGACCGATTTTCTTATTATGTTTTTCAATTACTCGCGCGTAAAACTAAAGTTGATGTATAATAGCGTTGTATATAAAGACTTAAATATTGTAAAAAGTTATTGTATAAATTTTATTTAAAACATTCTAACAAGAAAGAAGTTTTAGTCTGAAAGACTTTTTGAAATGTAGTATTATTCAATGTAGAAAGAATTGGCACTTGCTTTGAAAAGAATAGAAGTTAACAATGTACTACTAATGTATGTTTTCAAATGTGTAAAATTAACGGCATCTTGATATGTTCTTGTATACATGTGAACTGTTATTTTGAATGTTTAGAAATAACGTGATATGGTAAAAGTGAAAGTAATGTTAAAAATTTGTTATTCGTGTGACTGTAAAGATTAAATCATGGTGAATATGTGTTAAAGGTTGAATGATGTAGTTAGGCTCTCTGACGCTACACTTTAGAGTTAGCCACTTTCAGAATAGTACCTCAGGGTCTAGAGTTGAAATTAGGGTGTGTTAAGAGGTCTCGTATGTTGAATTTTAACACGTTAGTGTTTTGATTGTAGGAGGAAGTGTTGAACACATAGACAGAAACACATTCGTGTTTGGTGTTTTTACAACACATGTCGGAGAGCACGGGGGAGAGATAATTAAAATAGTCATGAATGAAATAAGAATGTTAAGAAAAGTATATTCTATATGTTATTTTGCAATGTCATTCTGTAACATTTCATTAAACTAGTTTTCCTTCCAGATCTCTGGAAGGAACCAGAATTGAATAAAGCTCCTGTTTTGATGCAGTACAGATGAAAAAGAAAAAAGATTGTTGTATATTCCGGGAGCTGCTATTGTAACAAATTTCTTTCTTTTAAAATTTTCTAGTTTCTAGCTAAGTTATGTTTGTAAAAGTTTGGCCTCGCGTTAGTTTCTAGAGCTAAAAGTTTTCAACAAGGTCGTTTTAGACCTCAGTTTCAAACTAATTAACTCTGGCGGGAAGTATGTAAGGATCTTAAGTTTTACTAACGTTTATTTTATTTTAAATCTTTACTATCACTTCTTATTTTCTACTTCCGGCCAGAATTATAAGCGTGAAGGAGTTTATGCAAAGTTGTCTGGCGAACGCCAAGTATTTAAGTGTGGCCTTTTTGCCAAGCAAGAGAGGAAGCCGTGAGTTTCGAAGCAGGCCGCTTACCTTAGAAGTTACGCAGTTGCTTTGCCTTCCAGGCCAGAGGTTTTAATCCTCTTGATAAATTAAACGTATTGTAGTGTTCACAGTCTCTGTGCTACATACGCTTCCTGTTATTATAAGGCCAATCTTATTCTAAAGTTAAATTAGAGTTTAGTTTTATTTTGATATCTTTTAAGTTAGACCCCGAGTGGAGGGTCATTGTATTCCGAAGTACGGAAGTCATTGTATATAAAGAAAAAAATAAAGGGTTTTGTATACCCTTCGTCTGTATCCTGTCTACTTACTACAATTAGTGAACATAGCTTTAGTAAGCTCTCTGTTCTAGTCAGGTCATTGTATGTTTCCGAAGAAGGTAAGAAGAAACATTGAACCTGATAACGTTACATTTTTAATTTCACATTCATATAATGGAATTTTTTTGTACTTTATAAGGGTGACATTTAATGTGTCTATAGCTGTCTTCGTTTTTTCGCACTATCCCTCGGCTCCATTTATAACGTTACCGCCACGAGAACACTTATTATTTATGCGAATGTGAAAACATTGCCATTACAAAGGGTACAGTTCTAATGCAGCACTGAACCTGCTCGACAATTTGTCATATCCCAGCGTTTACAAGTGCTTAGATGCGGTAAAATTAATTTAATTTATTTTTCAAATTAAACTTTATCGAGTTTAAATAACTTCAATTTAAAAACAATGAACATATATTTAAAATTAATTTTTAATTCAAAGGGTCAATTTTCCCAGAAGGACTATTAATTTCGTTTTGGAATTATGCGTTGATTCACTACAAGCTTTGTTTCACATTTCAAATGGTTGTCACCAAATATTATCGCCCTGTATTATATTTAAAGAAATTAAATAATAAAGAATCTGCATAAATGTATATATGTTTCTCGCATTGTGATAAAACAACGGTACCAAGAACCATCCAATTTTGAAAAACGTAATCTTCCTGCGAATATGGGCATCTGGAAGCACAAATTTGAAATTTGGAATTTGTTTTATTATCGATTTTATATTTTGTAAAACTTTAACGAATTTCTGATTAGCAAATTCAACGATTTCAAAGGAAGCAATGACAACACTGTACGAAAGAAAAAAAACATTTTATATATATATATATATATATATATATCCATCGAGCAAAACTGTGTATCCGAAATTCTAAAGATATGTTGTTTTTAAAATTTTCTGATATTGCTGTTGAATTTAATTTTATGTAGTTTAAGTGCGAAGAACATGATATTTAATACACAAAGTAACACACAAAATGTTAAAAAAACGCCCCTTTGGACGTAATTTAAAATCTGAAACCTTTCAAATTATTTTAGTCTTATTAATACTATTGTTAACGTAGTTTATTATACAAAGGCTCTTGAGATATTTTTAGAAGACTTCGTTTTGCTATAAAAAATCGCCTGCTTGGAAAAAGTTTTTTAACTACAGTTATATTTTTGAGCGTGTAAATTATCGTCTGCTGTTTGACAATTTTGTTTTGATGCAAAATGGCGCTTTCAAAGAAGCAATGCACGGAAAGCTATGTTTATTCTCTTTCCGAAGAACTTTATTCGTATTTAGTTACTAAAAATGCTGTGAAAGTCACGATGTTTCGGTATCTAAAGAAACGATAATAATATTGTCAATAATAAAGAAAAAAAAGTCAGAGTTTGGCTTCAAGGAGAAAAATGATTCAAAATAAATATCCAAGGGAAAAAAATGGAATATTTCGAATATTGCAAAGGTAAGAAATTTTGAACTCAAAGGACAGTTGCCTAATCATTATAGTGATCAGTGTCAACTGTAAACAAAGTGAAGAATGCTGATTTGAATCGTAAAAAGGCGAAAAAACATAATGTGCATAGTCTTTCTCCACAACATATCGCCGAAAGCAGTATGCGTTGCAGAATTTTCTATGAGAAACAATTATTTGGGCAAAAATGGAAAAGTGTTGTCACAACAGATGAAACTTATTATATGAATTTATTAAGTATTATAGTTATTAAGCAGATTTTTCAAAACAAAGAACTTAAAAAAGTGAGACAAGCATCTGTTACCTCAACTTCTTAAACATCGCGATGAGTCTTCCTTTGCTCTGAATAAAATGAACTGTCGAAAACTATTCCGCTGTTTATTTTTGTCGTGACCGTAACTATTTTAAATGCAGAAAATTTTAACAGATGATAGCATAAGTTCTATAAATTTTATTTTAAGCTAAAAACTACTTCTTCTAGAACTCTGTACATACAAAAGTGTTCACTGTACAACTTTCCATCTCAGCTTCCTTTTCATGATATAATATTTTGTCAAATAAGGAGTAACTTTATTCAAAGAGAAAATTTTAGCGCTAAAGAACTTGGATTTGATTCTGTATTAGTGTTTCTTTCCCCGATGAGCGTTTCTCTTACAAAAATGCGATGCTGGAATACTCATACCCTGTTTCAAAACATATCATACTCAAAAAAATTATTAATTTTGAAAACCTAATTACTGATGTAGAGTCAATACGCAGTTTTATATGTAAAACATTATCCCTGTTAGTGATATAAATTCCTCACACTATACAGGTAACTTTATAACGTAAATGCATAAATTTATGATATAAAATTTGGCTAAAGCTTTCAAATACGAGAAAAGCCTAAAAAAGTGGGCAATGCGGGAGTTTTAGATAAAAAATTTCGTTAAAAATGAAATTTCGCAAAATGTATGTTGCTAATTCTACCAATTGAATAGAAATGTTTGAACAATAAAACGGTGTAGCAAAAAACGTTGTTGTTTTTAAATAACTTTATGAAAAATATGCGATGGTTAAGATGTTAAAGAATGGACGCTGTACATTGAATGGAAGACGTATCGAAATAAGGTATCGATACGCACCGAAACTTATGATACAAAATGAATGTATCCTGAGCTTTGAGAAAAATATCACTTAAATATTTGTTACACGGTGCTACTTAAAATACGTACCATAATCTAAACTGACAGTTAGGGTTCCAGTGGAGCTGATTCTATGCCTTTCGATATTGGAAGCGTTGCATTTGTATGTCCCACTATCCGATGTCTGCACCCTCTGTATTTCTAGTGCTCCACTGGGCAGAAGGGTGTACCTGTCTTTCTCCATTCGGATGGGTCGATCATCTTTCAGCCAAGTAATTTCCGCAGGAGGGTGACTTTGAATAGAGCAGGGAAAATAGGCCGTCTGTCCTGGATATACAGTCACGTCATGTGGTTGTTCATCGAACCTAGGCAGATCTGAAAGAAAAGAAAGAAAGATTTAAATGGTAATGGTTATGTAGTAATTTTATTTTAGTATTGATTCCGCTAATGAATTACGCGAAAATGAATTTCAGATTTGTTTTACCATTATACGCCAATTCGTTTTATAATTGCCTTTTTTACTTTTAAATAATTTTTACAGAATGTTCATTAGAATTTATGCGAAAAATAAATTACAAAGTAATCCTTCGAATGTTGAATTACCTACCTGCAAACCAAAACAAATAACTATGGAAACAATACCACATTATCCGTATAATTAACTATGTAAACCATAGTTTCCCACCATTTTTTGGACTTTAACCTTTTTTATTTTTTCAATTTTTTTTTCGGTCCTCTCCCCTCAAATGCTCCATTTCAAGTCTATTAAACACTTCCCTACGCTTTCAATAATGAAATGTAGATTGGATGTCTTAGGACATTATCAGTACAATACTTCTAAGAACCAAATCATTAATTTATTATTCAGCATTAAATATTTTATTAAAGAATAAAAAATGCTCTGGAAATCATAAGTGATTTTTTTACCATTCTGTGGCAAAATAGCCCATTTTGTTCATTCATGTTGACAGCGAAAAAAGTCGCCAAAAGATATTTAAATAATTATATGAATCTTGTGATAAAAACTTCATGCTTATTTCGTAATTACAAAAGTATATATTATTACTTTATGCAATTTCAATGAAAGAACTTGAAATTCTTACGTTTACCTAATCATAACTACATTAAAAATAACACAACAAACAATTCTCTCGCTTTCCTTTTAGACTTTTTATACCAAAAAATTATAAGGATTTATTTAGTTTAACTAAGCAGTTATTTTATCTTAATTATCTTTAATGTCTTTCTCGCTTCCGTTTTCCAGTCAGAATGCTAATTTCTAGTTCGCGCATATTCAAATGAGACAGAAAGAGACAGTATTCAAAGAAAGGTTTTAGGTTGTAGAATCAAAGCGTGTTCCGCCTGCTGAAGGCCACGTTACTAGTTGAATCTCTTGATGGCAATTTATCTACAGCTTTGCATTATTCTCCCCATTACACTTGTCACGCCGATATTAGGTCTGGGCCAAATTGCGCGCCTTACTTAGCTAACTAAATTCTTTACTTTTGATTTAGCTATAAATGTTGGCTGGTCAGGTAAGCACAATCTATGGTTTCTATTCTACTGATTTTAATAAAAAGTTCTTTTACAACCTTTCCAAAGGTCTCTGTTGTAAATTCCAAGACACAGCGACAATTCTCCTTACGTCTTCCAGAGTCTCTATTTTAGGTTATATTACCAAAGAGGGTGAGACTATATAAAGTCTAACCATAGCTTAGTCGAAAAAACATGCCATTTGAAATTGCTGGGACCAATTAGGAGACGTAAATACTATTTGAATGCAATTATAATATATAATAAAAACGTTTTATTTAATAATAATATATATATATACATCAGTGTGAAAGCAAGCATTCACATTTGATATTCGATTAGTTAATCGTCATCGAAGTCGCGCAGCGAGTTCTTTAATTGTTGTCTAACTGGTTTTCTTTCTCACTTGAATGGTGGACAGCATCGATGGCGGAGGCTTTGGCATCCCTATTCTTTGCCAGCGGTGTTAGATGGTATATCGAGTTTTTCTTTAAGCTTGTAATTTGTCGTGATATAAATTAGTTATGGACTGGTAATGTACGTTTACTGGTATTGGTACGGCCTGGTAATGTACGTTTACTGGTAAACGTACGGCCTGGTAATGTAATGTACGTTTAAGAAAGATAACTTCAAATTTTCGAAACATTTTGCTTTTGATTCAGATATCTGTCATTTTCTATGACCTTTGCACATTTTTCAGGAAAAATTTCAATTCTATCTCTCCTTTTTTTACGAATCCTTTCCGTTTAGCCGTGTAATATTTATTTATTACATTTCAGACCTCTATTTTACACTGGAAAGTTTTGCCCATAAGAAATTCTGCAGTAATCAAAACAAGTAAAAATCAGATAGGGTAACATTTGGATGCTTTAACGTATGAGGAATGATTATTCAGTCAAAATGCTAAGGTTTTGTCAAGTATCCTAGCCATGCGTGTCTTAGTGTTTATTTTGCCGAAAACTCTCAGCACAGTTACTATTCAGTGGAAGTTACCGGGTAACTAAAGCCAATTTCATATTACTTATCAGGTAAAAAAGCACATCGGCATTAATGTCTTCATTATTTAGTACATCAAAAATAAATTACTCCTTCCGTATCCCACCCACCAATTTTTTAGCAGAGCTAAACTTTCTTTGAAGACAATAACTTCCTTCTTTCTGTAAAATTTGGCTTCCCTTTTGGGTTCAATCAATGTTTTTTTCAAGTAGTACTAACATAAATAATTCTTTTTTCGTCTGCAGTCAGAATACTTTTTAAGGAAGGTTCAGCTTCTTGTGAACACAGAAATGCAAAACACTGTTGTTGTTGATTGTGCAAATTGAAGCCTCTTCTCTGTTTCTGTTTCGTATAATGTTTCTGTTTCTGTTCCTTCATCGACATCTCTAAATCATCACCTTCCACGCCTCCTTTAGTCATCCAATAACACGCTGGTCTTCAGAAATTTAAATTTACATATCAGAGGTTCTTACATTACCCCAGGAATTAACGTTCACTTACAGAGTCTGTGTATATTAAAAAACTTCAAAACTTCCTTCTGGCTTCTGCAGCATATCCGTGCAGGCGGAAAATTCACAGGTCGGAGAATACGCAAATTATTATGTAACATCATTTTTCTGTTTCAAAAAACATTTCAAAAGTTTTGACTTCAGAATTATCTTAGGCTATTTTCATGCATTCCAATTTTGGCAAATTAAATTCCTGCATTCTTTCCTATCAACGTGGTACAGTAAAAGTCTTTTTAACCGGCAGCAACGGCACCTAGCCGATTCCGGATAAGAGGGTTTTTTCCGAATAACTGACTATATATTTCCAGAACTTACTTTTAAATTCTTTGTAATGCCGTCTGTACAAATTGCAGTTCATTGGTTGTTATTTTGATCTATCGGCCACAGTTAAAAAATAATATCAAAAACCATACAGCTTATTTAAAATCAAAACACACACACGTGATTTTATCTTTCTAAACAAAAAGTTAAACAACATTTTAAAATTAACATATGACAGCTATGAATTTCCAAGTGTGATGGCACACAACTTCAAATGTCTGTCTGCTTACAAGACTGGCCGCAGTTTCAAAATTTCGCTGAATATACAGTGAAGCTTCATGATATATACCGACATAAATGATAACTTTCTGCAAATCTTATGAAAGTCTGCAAACTTTCGTCAGATTTCTTCCACGTAATGTTCGGGCTCTGCATGTCGTCTTCATCTTCATCTTCATCCTTCCTTTCCTCCTCATATTCTTCCTCCTTTCGTAGTACATGACCGACTATTTCGTCGTCATCTTGAGAACGTGTGACGAATACAGAACTGCTTACATAAATGCAAACCTGCACCCCCTCTTTACCAACTTTCTCCGAACATGTAACTAAATCCAATATGTCAGGCCACGTGTACTGAACGTGTTTTGAAACCAAGAGAATCTTCGTCACTCCATTCGTTTTCTGTAAATATGATCCTAAGACAAAATTTACACAAACAGTAACGTAAAGTAATGTTCTTCGCATCTTTGCATCCAAGCAACAGACAAATATAAATTTGGCGTATATAAGTACGAATTGCTGCTGGAAATTACGGAAACTACCTTCAAAGTTCATCCATTGACGTATAAAAAGGAGTTCATCTCCATATTCTAGATGAGGAATGGACAAACTACGGTCCGCTGGCCAGTTACAACCCTCCTGAAAGTTCCATCCTAAGCGTACCAGAAATTAAAAGTAAATTACATTTGCATAATATATTTATAATATTAGTTTACAGTATATAATATTATATATTTAATATTATTATATTATTTTAGAATAAAATCTACACATTACAGAACTCATGCCAAAATAATAGAAAAGGATGTCACGTGATCAGAGAGGAAAACGAGTTCATGTAGGTAGATGTCTATTATCTCATTTCACTGACATTTACACTGCGCATTTTAAGTTCCTCCCAGCGCCTTTCTGTTGTAGTACGAGCATACACAAGTAAAACGAACAGAACAACTGAAGACAAGGGTTATAAAAACGGTCTGAGAAAACTAGATTTTGAGTTAGATTGAAGATATTAATGCCATTCAAACAGAATTGAATATTTTCACCATGCCTTTTAACGTAAAATGTGAAGCAGTGAAGTCGGGTTTGAAGATTGAATTACTTTAGTTACAATTTAATCTAACAATAATCTCAAGCAGTCGTTTCTCAATGTTCAAAGCTACAGTTTTACAAATCGTTACCAAAAGCAAGTTTTCCAAATTCATTATCTCGTACCTAGAAAATTAGCGTTCAGTTTGTTTCATCTTAGACATGTGAACGAGTATTTTCTACCATGAACCTAAGAAGAATTCTGTTAGAAATAAACTGACAAACGAGAATTTAGCATCACTTCTCAGAATTAGTACATTTTAGTTCGAACCTAAATATAAGGAACTTTTAAAAATGCAGTTGCAATTTTATTAAATACATTACCCTTTGTATCGTAATATTTTTAGAATAAATTATATTCACCTGTAATTTTTTTTTTTTTTTTTTTTTTTTTTTTTTGACCCGTTCCCAAAGTTGCTTATCTCTCTCCTAGACAATTCCTTGCTCCATTAGTTGGGAACTTGTTAACGTTGGGAAGAAGAAACACATTAAACCCGTTCTTGATTAACTGTTGGTTTGCCTGTAAATGTGTCTTTATAGCAGACGCAATACAAATGCAAGAAAGCCAACATACAGGCTCTAGCTATTCAAAGCTAATTTTACTGCAAACTACAAACTATTTGTTGCAATAAAACTTAAAGGACTTAAATTGAGAACAATGCTATATAAAATTAATCAATACCTTTTATTTTGAAAAACTTTCTATTAAATTACGTTTAAGGTAATTCTTTCCAAATCTAAATTTACGTTTCTCGTAATTATTCGGTAAAAATTCAGAGAAAAGGAAAATTTCCCCTTATTATTAGGTTTATCGTAATATTTTTTGCTAAGATCAGGAGCTCAAAGCAACACAGCAGAAAATAAAACCTACTAGTATGAGTATCTATGATTGAAAAGGTAAAGAAATTTTTAACAACAAAATAATAATGAATTAAAATTTTAGTAACTCCAACTGAACATACTTTATTATACTTTATTATTAAGACGCAATTAGTATTTATGACTTCGTTTCAAAAAAGCTTCGAAATTAATTTTGATGAAAGGTCGGTTGACTTACAGCTGAGAGAGTGAACAGCAACATGAGATGCAAATATTGCCGCTATTAAAAATTCTCCGTTATGCAATTGGCACGCATTTTCGCGAGTTTTTAAAATTATAAACACACAGTTAAACGTGTTAAATTTAAATTAAACAAGCACACATAAGAGGTTGATGAAGCTATGATTGGATTCGACGTGTGTTTGGCATCTATTTCACAGACGATGAAAACTTTGACAGTTGCATAACTGGAAAGTACAAAGGATACTTTGCCATTGACATAGGTACCCTTAAAAATTAACATATTTGAGGAAGTTCCTGCCACTATTATCAGGGTTGCTTTGTATTTCGCACATTTCAAGTGATATGTAGTGTCCGAATGCCCACCATGAGGTAAAGAAAATTCTGAAAAGCATAGTTCGCATTTCCCTTCGATCACAAACTATTTTCAAAAACGGATAAAAAAAACTACTTTCAAAAATCGATAGCAAATTACTTTCAAAAACAGATAATTTTTCCTTAATTTATTGTTAAACGCAAAGTTCCTTTTTGGCATTATGTAAATTGGATTAATTCAGTCTACAGTACAAAATAATCCCAAATCCCGACTCGCAATTTGACTTTAACTGACATACGGAAAACACTGACGTGGGCAACGTATGTTGCCAACTCTGTTTTGAAACAAAATATCTAAGAAATTAAATAAAAATATCTGGATCTCATAGGCTACATGCTATATGAATTCTGTGGAAAAACATTTGGACGAAAAAATAAATCATCTAAATTCTTCATACCACATGTTATAATTTGGTGCGAAAACATCTAGACAGCATTAAAAGTACTTTGATACAAAATATTTAGACTGGCAACAATGAGTGTAACATAAGGGTATTTTGATTTCTAACTCACCGTTTTACTCTAAGCTGCACTGTTTTTACTTCCTGCATATACGGCACTTTTCAAATTTTACCAAATAACCTAGACAAAAATGATCTGGCGAAAACGCAGGGACTATTTCACCAAACAGGGGCAGTCCCGGTCAAAGCAAAACGTCTGTTAAGCCTATTTATAATGGAATAGTTTTTGCAAATTTAAACTAATATTTGCATTGTACATGCAACTAAGATAAAATTATCATCATATAGATAATCCCAGAATTCCATTTGCCCGGATCAGTTTTTTATTTCCTTGTACGAAGTAAAGGAAGTACTGTAATCACGAAAAATTCCGGGTACCATAATTCAACGAAAATATCCATCTTGACCGCTGTCGAATGAAATTTAACGATGCTTTGCGTGACATCTGTATGTAAGGACAGAATAAAGGACTCTTTTCCCCCAAACGATTTGTAAAACTGATTTAAAATGAATTCAGATGATTTTTTGATGTGGCGTCTGTACGTAAGTCGTACGTATGCATGTATCTCGCGTAACGCCGAAACGAGTAGCCTCAAAGCGTTGAAATTTTGTATATAGAACTGCTATAACATGTAGTTGTGCATCTCCCTTTTTGGTCACATTCGGCCGCACTAAAAGTACATAACTATATAAATACATATATCTACTCTGTTACTCGGCTCAGCGAGCTTAGGTTTTTTATATGTTGGTAAATTGTGCATTTTTTTCTTTAAAAATGATTAACTTGTGTTATTCTTATCTTCCGGTTCAGGATTTTATGCCTTTAGTTAATGTGCACGCAATACTAGTAGAATTATCAACAATTTAAAAGTTGTTTAAGTGCGGCTAAGCCTAATTTTTTTTTTACCATAGCAACCATATTTATGTACATTTCAAACTCTTAGTAGAATAGTGAATTAAGTTAGTTTGTGCATCAATTTCAGTGTTTTTTCCCCCCGAGTGTGACCAAAAGTAAACTTTCAGTTTTCTGCACCGAAAAATCTGCCTTCTTGCTTGTTAGTCGAATTGCTTGCTTTTGCGTAGAAACTCTAATTTTAATCTATTATCAGTTCTTAAGATTCTTCACTTTCAACGGTAACTTAGAATCACACAGTGGAGAATCCTACAAACTAAAAAATGTTTATACTCTTTAAAATAAAACTATAAAATATTAAATTAATTAAAAAAAACTGCAAGATATTTTATATAGTATTAATATAAGAAAAACATGAACTAAAGATATAATATATATAATACAATATTAAATTAATATTTAAAACAATTATAGTTTTAAAATAAACTCTAAGAAACATATTTTAAAAATGTATATACTAAAATCTAAATGAACAGGCCTGTCATGATATAATATAGCCATTTCTACTGCGTGAGTCGTCACTAGCTGGTGTTCTTTTTGTAAAAAAAGACTAAACAAACATGGAGACATTATGACAACTCCTTTGCGTTTCTAGCTACAAATGATTTTCACACATACGCAAAGCATTTACAATCAGATTCTTCTCACTAAACTTCTGATATACATCATAGTATTGAACGTAATTTATTGAAAATTAATGGTAATTTTTCCCTTTAGCGTGAAGTACTATAATGTTTCTTTTTGTTTTAATACTAATATTTTCAACTGCACAGCTTTTTTTTTTTTTTTTGGATAAAATATAGTAAACAAAGTTATCATTAGTTAAAAATAGAAATCTCTTCCATGTACTGAAGCAAATACGCATTTGGCGAACATAACAAAGACACCCAATTACTCAGGATTTTCAAATATTCGAATAGCCTACGGTTCCAGTTAGTGTGGAAATTTGGGTTTTTATTTCGTTCGAGTTTAATCGTTAACTAGTAGTGAAATATAAATTTTTATTTACGAACTAGAATTAATCAACCTGGAACTACCCTAGTAAAAACAAAAGGCTTGCTTCACCAAACATTTTTCATCTCCCTTAAAATAATACTCTATGGCCATTGATTTTTATTCGCAAGAATGTTGATATATAAAATCAATAACCTGGCTTCAATTAGATCTTTAGATTTTTCCCTCTTTGATACTACCCTTTTTGTCATTTCTTTCTTTCATATTTTTCTTAGCTGAAATGCTACTCTAATAACAATATTTTTGTTCAGAACTTTTGAATCTTTTTTTTTAATTGGATCAGTTTTTCTAGAGATCCGAGATTCGAAAACTGGAATCTTAACGCATTTTTCGCCATTTAAATCTTCCGAAGTTAAAAAGAAAAATATTGTTTTACCTGAAAATTTTTAGAATGATTAATTTTATTGATATCCAATAGAAATGTTCATTAAAGAAAAAAACGCGAGTTTTACTATTTTTGTGCATTTGGTTCCCCAATGTCAGATCGTGGCAGACCTGAAGGTACATTTATAATCCATTTATAATCTTCTGGAAGGCGTTTAATGCTCAATGCTCAGTGCTTACCTATTTTAATTGCTAAAAGCTAACTTTTCTCTCTTCTGCGCTTGCTTTGATTTAAAAAATTTCCAACAAAATTTCTTTTCTAAATGAACTGCTGTTTATTTTTTTTCGGGGGGGGGGAGAGGCTCCCAAAAAATCCGAAAATAAATCTCAAGGTTGAAGAGTCTTAATTCCGTATATTTGCTAAAAGTTCCTCTGTAGTCCCTTAATAAATGCAGAAAATGGTTTCAAAAAATGTATTCTTAAAATAGTTTTACATTAAGTGCCGATTTCAGATTTTGCTTTAATAAAAGATATCTAAATTAACTGAAAGCATGTTATTCTTCTTTTCTCCTTAACATTCTTATATGAAAATTTTAGAGATTCGAAAACCTTCTAGAATTCGGATTCAATAAAATTTTAATTCGTCTTTAAAAATATTCTTATAAGGACTTTACCGTTATATATTTTATACCGATATAATTTTTAACGTAGCAGTGTAATATACACTGCTACGTTAAAAATATATCGGTACATTTAATGACATATCTGTACTTACTAGCGACCTGCAGCTTGGCCGGTTTACTGACGATGGTGCCAACATCTTTGACCGTTGCTGCACATTCGTAAATGCCTTCGTCTGGCCTTTCATTGCGTGTGTGGTGCACCTGACTGATGAAAAGAGAGCCATTTGACAAGATCGACCTACGAGAAGAAATAAATATTTATTCTAGATCATGAATATAATTAAATATATAATAAAATTTCAGTTACTCGAACCTCCCGTTTTCCAGATTATTTATTCTTCATTATTAGTTAAGTAAATTTATGTTCGTTTTTAATTTATTCACGAAATTGTAATTCTTTTTTGTTGTATTAGATAACATCGATACAGTACACACAATTACAGTACAGTGCAGTGATTACAATGCAGTACACACATTTTCATGAGGAACTATTAATTAATTTGCATTTATAAATACGAAAGATAGCTTAGCGTACAATATTTAACAAAGTTTATTAATATTTGATTACGTTACCGCAAAGCACTCGAAGGCTATCTGCCTAAGAAGTGGGATGCCTTCATGGAAGACTTTTTAAAGGAAACTGGCTCATATACGTGCTACATATGGAGAAAACTAAGAAAACGTCCGTGCAGCCAGCCCGTTCGCTGGTATTCGGAACCCGAACCAAATTATCAATGTTCAGCGGAGTTTAGCATTTGACCGCTAATGGGCCATACACTACATACGACTACTGCTCCTTATTTCTTGTTAGCATATTGCTTAATGATGACAAATGGCTTTTTGTTTTCCCTTAAAAACAAATCAAGAAGTTTTGTTCAATTTTTACGACATAAAGTAAAAATGACTTGAAGTAAAAAGTAATAACAAAGTTAAAAGACGTCAAATATCTTGCAATGAATGCTGGGAATTTTTATCTTAAACTATGTATCATAGTTACAGGCAGTTAATTTTTGGTATACTTTTGCTTTTTGCTCTCTTGACATTTGACTTTTTACTTTGACTTTTCAGTGTAATATTTATTTTGATATTCGCTTGCGTTACATAATTATCAAACTGGATTTACACAGTGTCCGTAAAGGAAAATTAAAGTTGAGTTTAGATTAATTTCGCTAAATAACTGGTAAAATAAATGGTAATTTCAGAGTAAAAGAAGTATTTAGGAATTTAGCCGTTTAAAAACGAAAATAAACAATAATGACTCTCTCAGCACAGTCATACAATAATGATATCTCAAAAGGTCAGATATATCAGAAGATCTTATCGGCATCACTTTGGAGTACAAATTATGAGCATAATAAATTCTCCATTCACGCGTTTTTGCCAGTATTTAATTTCTTTCTGGCATATAAAAAGTATAATTTCATTGATACGATGGAAAATGGGTTGCATTGATCCTACTTACCCTTATGTCAATGTACAGATAAGATCTTAACATCGTTCAGAGATACAAAAAATTAAAAATATTTCAGTTTTGTTTTCTAAGTGATAATTTGAATAATACAAATAAATATGAAGTATTCAATGATTATTCTTGTGATACATTTGCAACGGATTTCTCTCCTTCCTTACTACATATCTTCGTGGAGTAAGGGGAAGCACGTTCGGCTGGCCCTCGAGAGATCGGGAATTTGAATCCCGAGGGCATTGCTCATTTTTCCTTTTTCCTGCGATACTTATCCATCGCCTTTTATGACAAAAACTTGATGACTTAACACATTCACTTGACTCGATGGTGGCTAAATGTTGTTATATTTATAGAAATGTCTTGCAAATTTTATATTATATTTTATAATTTTCAAATACACTTCAAACTTTAGAGGACTTTTCTAAACAATAGTATAAGTCTTATGCCATTGGGCTGGCAAGAAAGTAATTTCGGTTTGCACATACAGACAGCGCTTTGTAATTCTTCTGTCAATCATATATTTTTTTTTCTTTTGAGATTTGGCAGCTGGCACATTTAGGTTGCTATAGAAACAAATCCCGCGTATTTTTGTTTACAACTATTAGTTTATGTTCTGTTTTAACAAGGGGTGCAAAAAATAAGCATTTTTGATATATTTTATACATTTTAATTTTCACAAGCGACTGAGTCTCACAAAGATATATGTGAAATTTGTGGTGTTGATTGCTTAACAGGATGCATAAATCAGAATTGGTTAAAAAAATTCATTTCAGAGAATTTTCATTTCAAGATCACCACCGTTCTGGCCAACCTTCTGATGTTGATGATGAGAGAGTTACGGCCATAATTCAATCGAATCGCCACTTAAATATGCGAGAAGTTTCAAAAACGTTAAATGTGTTGTAAGGTATTTCGCCCACCTTCTTAGCAAGCTTTCGTAGTGTAGCGGTCAGCACACTCGGCGCGTATTCGAGAGGTCTGTGGTTCGAGTCCCGGCGAGGGCATTGCTCATTTTTCATCTCTCCTGCTTCGAAATAACCTAATGTCTCTACAGTGTCGCACACAATTGAAAATCACGTTCTTTATCAAATAAAATTTTTGAATGGGTCTCACCTTCTGGTATCTCCAATGAACTGCACGGTCGATCCATCCCTCCTCCAGCTATAACTGGGCTCGGAGGGTCCTCTGGCAGTACAGTTGAGAAGGGCAGGCCCGTCCCTCACGGCGATCACATCCGTCGGCTCGACGGTGAAGTAAAGCTCTTTAAATGTCGCTGCCGAACCTGAATAGGCAAATTTGAGTAATTAAAATTCTATGAATTAGCACAAAAGTTATAATTTTTTACACTCATATGGTATAAACTTTTATGAATAAACAAAAGACTACAATGATAGTATCACGAAACATTTTAAGGAACACAGCAGACGTATAATTATAAAATTATAATAAAATTACAACCTGGTTCTCAAAAGTTACCGCAATATTGGAAAAGTATATTCTTTTTTCTTACTTTCTTTCTTATATCTAAAAATATTCTTCTTTAATTCTAATGTACAGTGGCTCGGTAACACCTTTATCGCAGAAGGAATTTTACGGATTTTGTGATTATCAAATTTCTGCCCCCCTCATTTTGTGATTTTTATTGGAATTTTTGAATTTCCATTCGCATTTAAATAATTTTCCTGCTTACGGAGGAGTATTTTTAAGCTTAAAAATGTGTCACAGCATAACAGGAATTAACGCTGAAGAAGAAAATATATACATGTATAAATACATTCCATCAGAACATTCGTCATTTAAATGGAAATCTTACTCCCGCGCAAAGACGTTGTAACAATTGAAAATTAAAAACAAAACGTATTTAGTAATTTGATATATTTTATTTATACAGGTTGTTTCAAAACCTAATGTAACAAACAAACATTAAGGAGTGATAAAACCAGAAGACATACCCTGCACAGATATATGTGCACTTTCAGACGCACGTTTTAAGAGTGGTGTTTTCGCGTGCACTGTAATTATCATTTTTGTATTCAATTTACTTTGCATTTGTAGTCGGTATTTTGTCATGCTATTTGTTTGCTTGTGCTCCTTCGTTGCAGCATGTGTATGTTTCTCATTTCATGAATTTCATATTCCACGATTAAATTTACAGTGCTCCTGAAATGCTCTCTAATGTAGGGGTCTGAATGTAGGGTTCCAGTTGAAAAGATTCAGTTGTATGAGGTAGAGCTTCCAAATTTTTACATCTTCAGTAAACATTAATTAAAATATTTAAGAATGAAAATAACAGTTACAACTGTAGAGATATTAGGTTTTTTGGGGGGGGGCGAGAAGCAGGCAAGATGAAAAATTAGCAAACACCTTCGCCTCTGGAAACCGGCCCAGCGTGCAGAACCACTACACCACGAAGGCACGCTAGGAAAGTGGAAGATATACCTTATATACTCCCCTTTTCAAAGGGCGACTGGGGTTTTCAGGGGACCCAGTCGACAAATCCTGGGTGAAATCCTGGTAGAAACCTCATCCATCACCCTTTTAGTTCGGGCGCCACTGTAGAGACATTAGGATTTTTTGGAAGCAAAAGAGATTGAAATATTAGCAACCGTCACCGGAAATCGAACCACGGACCTCTGGAATACCGGCCCAGCGTGCAGAACCACTACACCACGAAGGCACGCTAGGAAAGTGAGAGATATACCTTATACGATTATTAAACGGCGTTTGACATATCGTGTCAAATGCGTTTAATACAAATTTTTGTAAAAATAAACATCAAATACTCGTAATTATTAGTAACGATTTTCGAGGCTTCTTATGAAATATTTGCTCGGAATGAATAAGCAAGGGCACAGCTCTTTAAAAGCTTTCTTTAGAAAAAATATTATTAAAGACAAAAATACTGAAAAATTCAAAATGTTTAGTTCAGTTTCCTCACCTCATCGATTTTAAAAGCCCATAAAATAAAGATCAACATTTGTAGAAAAATTAACTTTCTGACGAAACGTACAAAGAAGCGATTTAATTCCGTTTCCATGCCAACCCTAAATCCTATTTAGATCGCGAAGAAAATTTTTTCTTTAATTAAATAACCAAAGTCGAAACACTGCAAAAGCAGTGGAAGAATTTTGTCTTTCTTTTCGTGCCAGATATCGGAAAAATAAACAGCTAAAAATTCCGTTTATCGAGAATTGTTTTTCTTTTAAAGGAAAATAAAATAAAAGGAAGTTTGTTTAAAATCATAATTATCTTTACTTTTAACAAATGTACACTTTCATTGAATTACAACAAATATTCAACATAAAGGGATAATTTAAAGGCTTTTATTTTCGAATCTCCGTCTCGAAATAATTAAGGAAAGAGCACAAGTGATTAAAAAAAGAAGTATTTTCACGCTGGAATTATTGCCCATTGCGAAACATTTCATAGGTGCCATTACGAAGTGAAATCTAATTTCAGTGTAATTAATTTTCTAAAAAGAAATTTTTACTTTCGGAAAGGAGTAGTTGCAAAGAATCTTCTTCTTATTCTTCACCCCCCCCCCCGTCTAGACATTTCACAGGTTTAAAGTAGAGAAAAGACTCATTGATTAGTAAAGAAAATGAAAACGCTCTTGGAAAAGATCCAAATCGATACAAAAAGGAAACGTAAAAGGATGCAAATGTATAAATATTACGTTCTCCAAAACTTAGAATATATAGAAATAAGCTGTTTCATTACTAATGCTAGAAAACTTCTTAGCGCAGTTTTTCCAGACTTTTGGATCTTTATGATATATTGCACTCTATGCACAGGCATCCTTATGTGGCAAGTAGGTTACTTAAACCCTCCATAGAATAGAGTAAAAATGTGTTTATCTAGCAATGCATGTATAGTGTGTGCGTTTTTGTACTTCCGAAATTTCATATTCTATAATCTGCTTAAGACGATCTCCAAACTAAAATAGTTAAATGAAAGGGGAAAAAGTCTGAAAGCTTTCAGATTTTGTATTATGGCCAAACAGGCATTTTTTATTTTCATTACGTTTCGAGAGTATTTGGGCTAAAAATATTTAAAAACAGCATATCTTTAGAATTTCCGATAGACAGTCTCGCGAGCTGGAGATAAAAATGTTTTATTTCCTACAGTGTTGCCACTGTTCGCTTCGAAATTGGTGATATTTTTTATTCATAAATTCGTTAAAGTTTTACGAAATATGAAACAGACAATAAAAGAAATTCCAAATTTGGGCTGCCAGGTGCCAATGTTCGGGTGGAGGACTATGTTATTCAAAACTGGATGGCTCTAGGTAGCGTTGGTTTTCCACAGTGCTAGAAATATACATACATTCATGCAGATTCTTCATTAATTAGTTTCTTTAAATATAATGCAGGGCGATAATTTTTGTTGCCAACAATTTGAAAAGTGACACATCGCATTTAAGTGATTCAACGCAAAATGCCCTTTCCAAACTAATAGCTCTTTGGGCTAAAAATTCATTCATGTGACTATTTGTCAGGAATGTTTGCCAGCCCTTTAAAATTTTCTACAGATGCCCATAGCTCTATGTCCTTACCATCCACAAATGTTGCCACTGCAACAACACTGCACTACCCATCATAATAACTGAAAATATATACAGGTTACCAGTAGTCAGAGGTCACGGGTATTCTTAGGTTACTGACATTTTAACAGTCTGTCTTCATTTACTGTACTGGCTCACACCAGTGACGTGATCTATGGAACTTAAAGCACTGACAAGCAACAATGACCAATCCTTTAAGTAAGCTTTGACGGTCACCTGTACTATTAAATTTATTTTATTTGAAAAATTTATTTTTATCTTATACAGAAATGGATTTCTGAACCTTGAAAAGTAATTTCAATTGCAATAAAAAACAAGAAAAACTATATAAACTGGGCCATCAATAATGTTTCCTGGGATTTATGAAATCTTAATCTGCTTCACTTCATCACACAGGTAACCTATAAGTTTAATTCCAGTGATTCCAGTAGGAGATCGCCGAAGATCATATGATTTCACGGACATCGGCGAGTTTCATTTTAATTAAAAAAAATCGTATAAATTTACTGCACTGCATCATACCGGTGTTTCATGCCTTAGTTTTAACTGATCATCAACATGTAAAATACCCGTAACCAACAGCCTTCATACTTCTTTTGAATTTAAAATTTTGTCTAAAATTACTGTGCCACCCATACCCACGATTTATTGGTTGACCTCTAATGATCATGCACTTGCATATCGTCAATGATCGATAACCTTAACGAGCACAGATGTCCTAGGGTTTTAATTTTAATATCTATCAAAAGTGTCTGCATCATTCCATACTAGTGACTCGGGGGTTGACCACCAACGATTGTCAACTTCTATTCCCCCGGGGTTTGACTCAGAAGAATTCCTGGGAAGTACTGGCTAGGATCTGTACTTAGGCAGTCTCTTCTTATAACCACTCTTCACAGGACTAGAACCCGAGTTTATTCTCAGGATGGTTCAGGCTTGGCTGGGACCGTACTGGTACTGCCTTGTCTGCAACTTGGCTGTGGGGTTGTTACATTGTTTGATATGTGGCTATCTTTGGGGGTTTGGTCTCATTTGGTCCTTCTTGGAGGACTTGTAGAGGTATGGACCACCCCATTTGAATATTCGATGTGGACGGAGTGGTGACGGAGGCAGAAAGAGTCTTCGTTCAAACTCGCCATAGCGTTCTTTGGTCCTATGCTTCGTGAAAGCCCAGTTGGGACCGGTGGGGTTCGCGCCCCTCTGAATAGTCTCCGGAGTTTTTCTTTTTTAAGTGGCAAAGTCTTGAAAAGTACACTGAATATCCGAGATCATTAAGAGATTCATATTTTTTTATGGAAAGACAAACAGTTCGAATGTTCATGAATAGCATTCACCGATATTAACAAAATTCTGAAAATAGTCGTAACACTGTGACCACAAAAATCGGAATAATTTTGTTGTAACAAAAGAGTCATTCATCTTAAAAGGGCAGAAAAGATTTCATGACGCTCTATTACTATCCTATACGTCACGTGACGCTCTATACGTCACGTGATTTATAACTCATCACCCTCACCGAGCTCTTCCCTTTTTTAGATGAGATCTAAAAATAACCGGAAAGAAAAGCAAAAAGATTCTCGACAGTTAATCGTACGAATGAGACAAAGAGAGGACTTCACGTTAGTTCCCCATTAAGTGATGTTATATATAATTCTTTTATTGGTTTATACCCCCTTAAAAAGTCAAACTGCAATGAATCAGACAACTTGTCAAGTTGG